AAATTTAAGCAGTTCAGTAAAAACAAGTAATACGCAGATTCAAAGTAGGAAAGATTTCAAACCGGAAATCACTTTCACTTCTTGCTGAAAAGTATCAATCCAACGCCATTTTAGTTTCACTTTTCCTCATTCCTCCACACATACGGGGAGAAACTTGTTATAAAAGTTAAAGTAGAGTCCAAGATAAAAAGCTAGCTTCCAAAGTTGGTTCGTCTGCTTACAAGTAAGCTCGCAGTTAACTTCAAGTTGCAGCGGTGGCGGCGGCTTCTTGCTTCGCCGAAGCGAAGGCGTCCTGGATCGCGGAGAATCCTCGGGGCTCCGGAGGAGTTCTCGCCTACATCGTCCATATAGGACGACTCAGGAACTCAACTCCTACCCCGGGCAGCTCACCGATCCCCTTATGCCCAGGGGAAAGGTATCAAGCCGTTTGACAGCAGATGCTGGCTGTCAAACCGGCTTTTACGCAAAACAGGCGGGAGGCAGCAAACAGCTGCGACCAGCGAAATCGCCTGCCACCGGAAGTCCCTCGACTCCCTTCCTGACTGTAAATTAATGGCCATACAGGTAAACCTTGGCTTACGACCGTTTAACAATGCTCTGGGATTACTGTGAGTATGGAATGGGTGCTTTGCGACCCATAAAGCACTTCACAAAACATTGCACTACCAATCCCATGTAATATGACCACAATCTGAGTGTTTGGCAACCTGTTCATACTTTCAACTAGTTTTAAGCACCCTGCAATGCCATTTACAGTCTTCTGTGCTCACTTCCCCAGAAAGTCAATGGTGAAGCCAGCAGGAAAGGTTGCAAGCTGATGGCACCTGCCATGAAGCTGAGATTCCATCCTGGCAGCTCTTTGAAAGCAGCGGCTGGCTCCTGGGAGAAAATTTCAACTGGGAGGGAATCTCAGGTCTATGTGGAACTGAGATTCTGTCCCTCCTGCAGGCAACCTTTTGAGAGCAAAAGAGTTGCTTGCTGAGGAAAGGGGAACTCCTCTGGCAGGCTGCAGAAATGGAGATTTAATCGCAAAGATCTGATCTCTGTTCCTGCAGACTTTGAGCAGAATTCCCTTTCATGCATGGAAGGGAGTTGAACTTGGCAGACAACTTTTTTCTCTATCTGCATAACGACTCAGGAGATCATTTAACAAGTGCAACTGGAAGCACCAGGATTGCGGTCATTGAATAAAGCAATCAGATGGGCATTTCACTTAGATTGCTATGCTCAACGATCAAGATTCGGGTTCCAATTTTCGATGTAAGTCAAGTACTAACTGTAGTTTGAAAAGGTAGCCTGGAAATGGACTGAGTTGCTCTTCATTTAGCACAGGGGTCCCCAACCCTCGGTCCTTGGACCAGTACTGGGCCGCCGCATGCCAGCAACCGGTCCGCACAAACAAGCAAAGCCCTATCCACGGGATGCAAGCAGCACACAAAACCACGCCCCCTCCGGTCTGCGGAAAAACCTCTCTCCACGGAACCAGTCCCTGGTGCCCAAAAGGTTGGGGACTTCTGATTTTACAAGACAGTAGGACATATGAAGCATTGGTTGCTCTAGGGCAGGGGTAGGCAACCTTGCTCTNGACCAGCGAAATCGCCTGCCACCGGAAGTCCCAATGATGTTTTCTTTCCTAATCTCATTTTAAATGTCTCCATGCTTGATGTTATCTAACTGTAAAAGGCCCAGATACTTGTAGGCTTTATCCTGATGGCTCCAGAAGGTTTGACCATTTGACATTTCTATTCCGTTCGTGATTTTATCCCAATTTGTTGCTACTATAGCACATTCATCTAAGCCAAATTCTATTGCTATGCAGTATCTGTGCTAAGGATTCTTATGGTTTTTGTCAACTGGATTTCAATTTCTGATTTTTTTTTTAATCATCATCATTATTACTTAAATGTCTATGCCATCTGACTCTCAGAGACTCTGGGTTTTTTTTACAAATTATTTCAAACATGATAAACAAGATACTGAAAATGACAAGAAAGAAAAAGAGTAAAGGTTGCAGTATAAGAAATAAAACAGAAAGAAAAGGAAAGAAAAGCAAGTTAAAAGGAGGCTTCAGTCACTCTGACCAAAGGTCTGGGCAGAGCCATAAACACACTTTCCTGGCTAAAATGTGGAGCTTTAGGTCAAATCTCTAGTTTCAGTTTGTCCCAACACTGCATGGATGGCTCACCTTTTGTTTAAAGGAGGAGTGGACTTACCTAAAAGTGGATCAGATATCAAGTCTTCTCTGAACACGAAACAGCCCCAATGCCAAACCACTGGAGTCCACAATGGAATTTTTAAAGGAACAACTGGGAGCAGCATGAAAGATGAGCAAGATGGGAAATTGTTCTTAATCTGTTTTGTTGACTATAATATGGGGGGAAACTGTAGAAATGCTCTTCTCATTAGATATTTTAGCATTTCAGGAACTACAGTAATGGAACATTTTACTTATAATAAGGAAGAATGTAAAAGAGCTCCTTGTGGCAAAGAAAGAAGCACAATGGCATTATAATGATACCTGTTTAGATGGGAAATTTGTGTTGGAAGCAGTTGCATTTAAGCACAAATGTTATAATTGGCTTTTCAAATGTTCTGGGGGTGATATGTTGCTGTAAATTCTACTTTGTATAATCTCAGATATATTTGTTTTAAAAAAAATATTCCCAGTCAGTTGATACTTATAGGTATAGATAATCTGGAAATAGTTATTCAATGTTTATCAATATGTGTTTTCTTTAAAAACGGGAAGATACATTTCTGCTTCAAATATCTCTTGCATGCTAACTCGTATATCTTAATGGAAATTCATTCTGCCTTATTATTTCGTGACAAATAATGGACCTAATGCTTAATGGCTTTCAGCCACTTATGAGTGGCATCGCCTTTTCTCTCTCCTGCTTGTGCATGCATGCGTGTGCACGCTCTCTCTCTCTCTCTCTTGCAAAATATAAGACAAGGCCAAAGCTTAAATTAAAATCCTCAGGTTCTTATCTCCTTCCCACAGGAAAGCAAATCTGTGTTGAAAACCGTAAAATTAAGAGGAGAGGAAGGATAGCATAATTTAGCAAAAATCCATGCAGAAGATTCTGAGCTATATGACTGGAGGGATAGGTCAGACATTAAAATGATACTACTTGCTAATGCAAGTTCCTTAAGGTAGTGCTCGGGAAACAAGGGAAAGTATGCAAAGAAAAAGTGGCATTTTTATAGTGACAATAAAACATAGACTCTGGTACTGTGTTTGAAATATGGTCTATCGTACAAATAATATATGATTTAAATAATGTCAATGAAAAAATATTCTATTTTTAGTTTCCACTATCTTATGAGTGGAGGTTTAATGAGCAATATCTGCATTTTGGAATGAATCTCTCTTCACTTCCCAGAAGCATATCCAGCATGAATGTATATTTGTGATTATTTCAAAGAATGCTGAAAGGGTTTTACAGTGTTTTCAAATTATACTGAGATTTTTCTTGAGTGCAGAAAAGGGGGAATGAACCAAAGAACATGTTTTAATAATGCAAATGAGTCTCAGACATATTTTTCATGTTTTGCATAGATGTATGTATGAAAAAAAAAATGGGGATTACTGTGGTAACTCTAATACTTTTCAGCTTGAGGGGATTGTTGCACCCATCAACAGAATAGCTTGATTTCTTTCCATGCTTCAGAGAAGTCTTCCTTTACCTTGACTATTGAATTCCATTTTGTAGCAAAAGCATTGCTTCTCTTTTAGGAAAACAGAAAACACTATGCAGCTGATAACACCCCAATCGCCAAAAGCTAAGTAGGGTCAGATCAGGTTTGTATTTGGATGTAAGACCTAGGGCTGCAGAGTAGAAGTTGGAAAGAATTGTAGAAGAATGCAAAAGCAAATTACATCATTAAAACTGCTAAGAAAACTGTTTGTTGTGGTAGTTACTAAGAATCAAACTCCATTTGATGAAGTCTCTGTCTAGTTATGATCCCCAGATCTTTAGCACATTTCTTCTGTTAAATACGAGGCCAAACAAGTTGTTCGATTTTAGCATCAGACTTCTGTGATTCAGCATTGGTAGTATAAGACTGCACTACTATACTTACATGCTAACAAATGATATGTGTTTGGACATATTTAGGCTGAATAGGAATGTCTAAAACAGGAGCCTTCAAGATCTTAATATTTTTAAACCTTTGGTTTAAAATAATAATAAAAAAGTAACTTGGTGTGCTGTAAAGGAAAGTCTTTGGTATTGTCTTTATTTTTAAGAATGTCTTTGATCCCTTTAGCAATCTTGTAGAGAATGAGAGGAGTGGATGGGTCTTAGTATTTTATTTAGAAATGTTCCCAGGTGCCCAGAAGAACACACAAAAGTAGAACTCATCACGGTAGGACTAGATGAAGTTACAAAATATCCTCAGACTTCTGGTAAATGAGCGTTTTGTGGCCCGGATGCCATGATAAAACTACTTTTTACGTGTAGTTTCTAGCCTTTTGTAATTATTACTCCATGTTAGCTCTACAATGCATTATGGCTAGCCAAGTTTTGATATTCTCCTACCTGATTTTCACCGTCTCAAATGAGCAACACAGTGATGTGTCTGCCAGTCCCTGGCTACTTATCATGCAGATGGTGGGGAGGACTGTAAAATTTGATCAATGGCTATTATTTTGAATTAGATAGGTATAATCTGAAACCTGTGGTTGAGTTCACACATTGTCCTGAACCTAGCTTTGTTTGGTTTTATTTTAACATGTTTTATATACCCAGTCATTGTATTATTAATGGCTTGGTAGTCTGGGTAAATCCAGTTTTTGTGGCTTATTTAACAAACCATTATTTGAATCTCCACCTACTGTGAGAGTTAGCATGTGTGAGTATTAATGGTTGTGAAACAGAGTTAAATTGTCCCCAATGAGACAATTAAATATGCACTATTTTTATAGGGCCTATTAGTTTAAGAAAAAACAAGTAAAAGAAAGAAATGCTACTCAAGCCTTTTGTTTTTGTTTGCAGTCCAACAAAGTCCCTGTGGTACAACCTTCCCATGCAGTACACCCTCTCACTCCACTCATCACCTACAGCGATGAACACTTTTCTCCAGGGACACATCCTTCACACCTCCCCTCAGATGTCAACACAAAACAAGGTGAGCTAATTCTTCCATTTTTATAACAGTTGAAAGGAGAAAATCTCTCTTGTGTTTTCTTTTGAGAACCTCAGATGCTGAAAAGGATATTTTAATACTATCTTATAGCACTGCTGGATTCAAGTATCTAGCTTTCTCCTTTTTCCTGATTACCCCTGTCCTGTTGCATTTGAAGTGGAGCCCAGAAATTCTAAAATATCTAAAAATTTGGGTCCCGTTAAAGGAAAAGACAATGCCACTGTTGCTTTCTATTACTAGCCATATGACATATTAAAGATTAAAATAAGCTTTCTTTAAAGAAATCTAAATTGCTTCCCTCTCATGTAATGTTATATTTGCAGTACAGGTATACCCAGTGGTGGGATTCAAATATGTGAACAACCGGTTCTCTGTGTGAATGCCACTTCTGGAAGTCCATTCTGGGCCTGGGCAACAAAAAATTAGCTACCAGTTCTGCCGAAGTGGTGCGAACCGGCTGAATCCCACCACTGGGTATACCTCATTCAGCTACTATAATTGGGAACGGTAACTTGGTCTTGGGAGTGGCACGGTAGCTTGGCGATTAAGGCGCTAGGCTTGTTGGCTGGAAAGCTGGCAGCCCAGGTTCAATACCTGAGCGCCACATGATTGGGTGAGCTCCCGTCCTCACCTCAGCTTCTGCCAACCTAGCAGCTCAAAAGCATGCAAATGCGAGTAGATTAAATAGGTACCACTTTGGTAAGAAGGTAACAGTGCTCTGTGACATCATGCTGGCTACATCGCTGCAGAAATGTCTTTGGACAGCACTGGTTCAATGGCCTTGAAACAGAGATGAGCAGTGTCCCCTATAGTCGGCAATAACTGGCAGAGTAAAATCCTTTACTCCTTTACCTTTTTTAAAAAAACTTGGTCATTAACCAAAGTGGTTGCAAAGTGAAACTGTTGACTGTGCTTATGATCATACCTCAGCTTTCTTTTGCTGTACAGACACAAAGATCATAAATGCAAGGATTGGTCACCAAGTTTCTTTTTTATCATTGTTGTAACTGCAAATGGTCCCTAAATGAGGCAGTTGCTAAATAAGGACTACCTGAACTTGACTAGACTAATTTTTATTTGCTCTCAGGTACTTTTGTAAAATCAGTTTGACCATACGCTTTAAAAAAAATACCTAATTTCTATTTTCTAATATAATTATATCAGTAAGTAGCCACTTGAATCATATCCAAAAGTATATTTATATCAGCTTCACATCTCTGTGGGTAATATAGCATGCCAATTGCCTATTGATAGCCAAAAACTTAATGGGTGTTTTTAGTCATCCTTGTGAAATACTATTATGAAACACCGTTGGCTAAAATGAGAAACCATGCAGTGATCAATAATGATTTGTTTACCTTGCTTCTCTTGCTTTGCAAACCTCAGTCCAGATGTAAAAGTTTCTCTGTTTAAGGTCCTCTAATCATTGTGCTGTATCTCTGTAGACTTTATAACTTTTATAAAATAAAGTAGAACCCTCCAGTGTGGTATTTAGCATAATCTAAAAACAATGCCTCATTTTTTTTCTATATATCTTAATCAAGCCATCATTGTTTTTGAATGGTTGTCCTGTGTTCTTATCTCTGTATTTAATTCCTTCATGTCACTTCCTTCTAATTCATTCTATCCATGAACAAACCATAAATGGCATAGGGCCGTGGTGGCAAACCTATGGCATGCGTGCCACAGGTGGCACGCAGAGCCCTTTCTGTGGGTACGCATGCTGTCACCCCAGTCCTAGGCCTTCAGCTGGGTTTTTTTCGCTTTAGGCCTCCTCCACCGTGTGCAAAAAAAAAAGGTTCAATCAATCAATTTCAACTTCTCGCAGGAAAAAAAAAGATCTTGCAAAGTTGGAATTGATTGAATTTTTAGTTCCACCCAGTCTGCCGTTACCACTGCAAACATGCCCACCCAATGGGCCATGCCCACCCAATGGGCTACACCCACCCAATGGGCCACACCCACCCAATGGGCCATGCCCACCCAATGGGCTACACCCACCCAATGGGCCACACCCACCCGGCAGCCGATGATACATAAGTGGGTTTTGGGTTGCAGTTTGGGCACTCGGTCTCTAAAAGGTTCGCCATCAATGGCATAGAGTTTCCTGCCTGAGCAGGGCTTTTCAACCTTTTCACCCATTGTACCACTTTTAGGATATGGCAACATCCGAGTACCACCAGTCGCCTAGCAAGGTGTCAAAAACGTGATGACCCCCACCCCAAAAAGGAAAAAAGTGATAAAGTACAGGTAGTCCTCGACTTACAACAGTTCGCTTAGTGACTGTTCGAAGTTACAATGGCACTGAAAAAAGTGTCCCCCAAGCCACAGTCGAGCAAGACACTTGCCTGCTCTTCCTCCTGTCCGAGGTTTTCATTGTTGTGAGCATTTCTGTTGAGGATTGGCAGCGGGGATGGGGTGGGGGTGTTTGGTTTTTATTCCCCCCCCCATCTGCTGGGTGGTTGCAGCAGGTTTTGGTCACTTCACATGACCCTGGGACACTGTGACCATCATAAATATGAATCAGTTGCCAAGCATCTGAATGTAAATCACAAGACCCTGGAGATGCTGCAACATTCCAGCTGATCAGCGCTTCTTCTGGGCTCAGCAGAAGCACCAGGATCAATGCTGCTTTCCAGCTGATTGGTGCTTCTTCAGGGCTCAGCAGAAGTGCCAGGATCAGCACCGAGCTCCAGCTGGAGCCTGGCGCTGATCCTGGTGCTTCCACTGAGCCCTGACAGCCCCGAAGAAGTGCTGATCCTGGCGCTTCCGCTGAGCCCTGACAGTCCTGCAGCTCCAGTCATCTCTCACTCAGGCTTGTCGGTGCTGCCACCGGTTCAGCTCATTCCCCTCCCCCACTACCACTTTTCTAGGATGGTCGCGTACCACCTGCCAGGTGCCAATGTACCACAGGTGGTACCCGTACCACTGGTTGAAAAGCCCTGGACCTCCAAGGTCTCTTCCAACTCTATTTTTTATTTTTATTTTTATTTTTTAAATAATAATAATAATAATAATAATAATAATAATAATAATAATAATAATAATAATAATAATAATAATTATTATTATTATTATTATTATTATTATTATTATTATTATTATTGTTATTGTTATTGTTATTGTTATTATTATTATTATTATTATTATTATTATTATTATTATATTTGAAGAGACATACCTTGATCAAGAGAAGTTGATGCCCTAATAATTTAGATTTTCAAATAACAAGCCTGTATTTTTCCTCTAACATTACACATTACTACCTCTCTGGAAACTGAAAGAGAAAGATGATACCATTTAAAGTAAATATTCTCAGTTATATGAAACATGTGATGGTTTTATAACTGTAAGTGTGTACAAACTAGTGTGCAGTTTTATCATCATTCTAGCCATTGTCTATCTACTGCAGGATAAAGGCCTCATCCGCATGTTTCCAACCAATATGTCCTGAGCTTTCTTCGGCCAGTTGGGCCCACAATACTTGCTGATGTTGTCGATCCATCTTGTTTTAGGTCTCTTTCGTGGATGCTTTTTATCAAGTGGGATCCATTCTGCTTTGGTCCACCTGCCATGAGTTTGTCTTGTTATGTGACCAGCCCGTTTCCATTTCAATTCTTTTACTCTCTTGATGATATTGTATACTTTCGTTTGTTCTCTAATCCATTTGCAGGTCTTTCTATCTTGTCTTTTAATGCTGAGCATGTATCTTTCCATTGCTCTTTGTGCCACTCATAGCTTTTGTGTTGATTGTGAGTTTAGTGTCCATGTTTCACCGGCATATGTTAGAACAGGTAGCATATGTGTGTATCTTTATAGCTCTTCTGGGTCTTGTGAGAGGAGAACAACATCATCTGCAAATCTTAAGTGATTTAAATAGATGTCATTGATTTTTATTCCATCTTTTGCCCAATCTAGTTTGCAAAATACTTCTTCAAGGCAGGCTGAGAAAAGGATAGGTGATATTGTATTGTCTTGTCGTACACCTATGTTCATTTCCACTTCAAGATCATGAAGGCAAATTGTCACCACTGTTTTTTCATAAATTGATTGTAGTAAGTTATATAACTGAGAATATTTACTTTACTTACTTTAAATAGTATCATCTTTTTCTTTCGGGTACTTATTTAGATATATCTTTTTTTTCTTTTTTGAAGCTTGAGTATATGCAATTTTGGATAATTTTTGAGATCTATAGACTGGGTTTTCAAACTCTGATCTCTGGTTTCCATAAGCTCTTGATGAAGTTTCAAACTCAGGGCAAAACAAAAATCACTTGAATGCAGCAGTTTTTATCTCAGTAGAAGTTTCCTCTTGATCAGGGGTCCTAGAATTAAAAAAAATGAAAAGCTTTTTCTGAGTAACATGTTAAATAGATCTTTTATTAATGCATTTAAGTAGTTATTATTATTTTTATTTTTATTATTATTATTATTATTATTATTATTATTATTATTATTATTATTATTATTATTATTATTATTATTATTATTATTATTATTTATCACATTTATACCCCACCCTTCTCCTGGTGGACTCAGGGCGGCTTACAGCCAGTTTAAAACAAAATAGCTAATACAATATACAAAATTTAAAATGCGGTTAAAATGAAATATTAATATAGGCCTTTTCTTTTTTTAAAAGTTATTTAAAAACCAAATTTAAAATACCCCTTAGGCCAGTCCTGCCAGCTGAAATAGCCATGTCTTGAGGGCGCGGCGGAAGGAGGGGAGATCTGGAATCACCCGGATCTCTGGGGGTAATTCGTTCCAAAGGGTGGGGGGTCCAACAGAGAAGGCCCTCCCCCTGGGGGTCGCCAGCCGACACTGTCTGGTTGACGGCACCCTGAGGAGACCCTCTCTGTGGGAGCGTATCGGCCGGTGAGAGGTAATCTGTGGCAGAAGGCGGTCTCGGAGGTAACCAGGTCCGATGCCATGGCGCGCTTTAAAGATGATAATCAACACCTTGAAGCGCACCCGGAA